CAGGTTTATACAATTTACTAAGAAAGGATGTCACTATTGGCTTACATCGCATACCAGGCAATTGAGAACCAGCCTGGTTTTGATCTACTGGTGCTTTCTTATCAATTTCAATGGGCCTGCCGTTTAGAAATAACTTCTTTGTAATTAGAGTGGACGCTGTTTAATCCAGCCATTGTATATATCGGTGCCCTAAATATAAATAAGCAAGGCCATTTCCTCCAAGACTACTACTAATAAGCACTTCTATACTACAAAAAGCCGAAGCCTACATGAAATACAATTCCACTTCAGCTCTGTTCATTTCAACCTCGTCCACTTGAGCCCAATAAATGACACACGATCGATGTAAATACAAGCAGTATATCCAACATTAGTCTTCGTCAAATCATCAATGGCATACATCAACAGACAAAAACACAATTCACGGCTAATCCAAGCCGGAAGATGACTACACCATTTGAACAAAAGCAGACAGGGAGATATGACACAAAGATGTGGGATGGTATGATTGAAGACGGATGCATATGTAAATGTATGTCCGCACAACATAATATTATAGTAAATGAATGGACGGGAATAATGCGACTAGGATTACCCCAACAGACCGAAAAGGGTAGAAGACGGGATTCGTCTGCTCTAGGCGACCACACCAACCGGGGTGGAGTTCATTCCCGAGTAAGCCTTCTCGGTCAGAGGGGTAGCAGCCTTCAGGGATGGCACGGAGGCCTGGGCAGCTGCGTCGTTGAATTCACGAGCGACAGCGCCCTCGAGAGTCTCACCGGCCTGCAGGCCAAGCTGAGCGTCCTCCCAGATGGGCAGGTTGGCGGCCTCGGCGTCTTCAACGCCAACGCCAACAAAACCGCCCTGACTCTTCCAATCGCTGGTGCGCTTGAGGCCTAGGTCATTCCAGACGGCCTGCACGGCCTGCACAAGGTGCTCACGCAGAGGCTTCACGTGGCCTGGGGTGGGGGTGATGCGCAGACGCTCCTCGCCGCGGGGAACGGTGGGGTAGTTGATGGCCTGCACGTAGATACCGTGCTCCTCGAGAAGTTTGTCGGAGGCCTGCTTGGCCAGATCGGCAGAGCCGACTAGGAGGGGGACAATGTGTGAGGGGTTGGGGATGACGGGGATATCCAAATCATTGAAGGCAGTCTTGACTGCACGGGGTGTGGAGTTGCTGGAGGACTCGGTCCCGGGGTTGCTGGGATTGGTACTGGATGGCGGCATCCGCACCAGCCATGGTTGCTGGTGGGAGAGAAGTGGTGAAGATGAAACCAGGGGCAAGGGAGCGGATGGTGTCCACCATCGCTGCCGAGCCTGCAATATATCCACCAACACAGCCGTAGGCCTTGCCCAAGGTACCGGTGATAATGTCAATTCGGTCCTGAACTGTGCCCTTGGTGCTTTGAGGGGAAGCTGTATCCTGCGATGCGTAGACATCATAATCAAGATGTTCAGCAACTCCAGCTCCGTGGGGGCCGTACATTCCTACGGCATGGACCTCATCCAAGAAAGTGATAGCACCGTATTTGTCGGAGAGGTCACAAATCTTTTCAATGGGCGCAATCGATCCGCACATACTGTATACGGATTCAAAGGCAATAATCTTGGGGGTACCAAGTGGCAATGAGGCCAATTTGGCTTCCAGGTCTTCCATATCGTTGTGTTTGAAGACCATCTTCTTCGCGCCAGAGTGTCGAATACCCTGAATCATTGAAGCATGGTTGAGGCTGTCCGAGAGGATGACACAATCGGGCATCTTACTGCCGAGTGTTGCCAGGGTCGCATCATTAGCCACGTAGCAGGAGCTGAAGACCAATGCGGCTTCCTTGCCATGTAACTTGGCCAGTGTATCCTCCAGGGCGACAGCATGCTGGTTATGACCAGAGATATTGCGAGTACCGCCTGCACCGGCTCCATAGGTATCCAAAGTCTTGTGCATGGAGTCCAAGACTTGCGGGTTACGACCCATGCCGAGGTAGTCGTTTGAGCACCAGACAGTCACACGCTCCTCGGTAGAGGTAGTGTGGGCCCGAGGGAACTCCTTGGCGAGACGATTGATGTTGTTGAAGTAGCGGTAGGACTTGTCCTTGTGCTTCTTCTCCAATTCCACGTTATAGAAGTCATTGTAGTTGAATTTCTTGTTGGTTGGGGCTTCCGGGCGGGGAGCGCGAACTGCGGCGCCGGCGGCGGCGGTAGGGGACGAGCGAAGCGGATTGGCCAAGTTAGGGTTTCCTATAGTCAGATTAGAAAAAGCTCAAAGCCCAAGCTTCAGAAACTCAATTTACCTCGCTCATTCTTCTCGTATCCTCCGGAGGCGAGACTGGCGGGGTGACCGCCAGTGGTGTGCAATGCGCGCTTGCCAGTCGGAACTCGCAGAGACTGAATTCCGGAGACACCGGCGGCGCGCGAGGTGAAGCGCTTGGTGCCACTGAGACGGGCACTCTGCACAGCCAGAGCCTTACTCATGACAGGGCAGCGGCGACCCAGAACCTGCAGGTTGGACATGGTTCCGCCTCCCGGGCTGGTGCTAGGACGAGTAGCGGTTGAGAGAGTGCGGAGGGTGGTGGGGGATGTGCGCTTGAGGAAAGGGCACATAGTGCGAGACTGCTGCAAAAGAGCCTCCATGGTTGAATTGAGCCAAAGGTATGAGGAGGAGAGAAAAAAAAAAAGAACACAAAGACAAAAATCCCCGTCAATTCAGGAGATTGTGCAAGTTAACGTATCGAAAACCAGCGGAATCAGAGGGAAAATCAATTGGGTGGGGGCTGCTGACTGATCTAAAGAGCTTACATATGAACGCCTCTGATTGGCCAGGCCAAATCCCGAGGTACGGATATTCCTTCCCGATAACCGCGGGCTTTGCCACTTGGGGACAAGGGCAACACGAGGACGAGAACAGAGAATACAGACACATCCCAAACCCCGTGAAAATTGACTCCACTTTCTTTTTTTTCAACGATAATTTGGATGAATTTGGCTCCCGGAGATTATTTTACTTCGATCATGCCATATTTGATAGGTGTCAAACCTACCTAATTAGGCCTAGTCCCCCTTTGATATTACACATTTCTCTTTTTGAAATTAGTTCGGGATCTACCGCCCACATGACTTCTACCGTATTATTGGCTCTGTTTTAGATCCCGCCTTTTTATTCCGAATTCTGCCGGATTTAAAAACCCCCGGGGCCTAGGCCCCCCGGAGGTCAAAAAAAGTACGATTATGTAATACAAAATGTAAAGGCCGGGACCCCTCGCCACTTCAGACGCCATTTGCTCTTTTCAGGATTCTTCAATTCAAACGGGGTTTGACTACAAAGTGTATTCTCGTTAAGCTATCCCATATTCGGTCCCATATTCGATTCCCTAAACTCTCAATCAATTATTTCCCAGGTTGATCAATACCTCCCATCTTCTACAACACTATTGCTTCAATTTGAGGTTAGGCACCCAGATTGAATTTAGTTTACAAGTTCTTAGTGTAGGAATTTCTAGGTACATTGAAATTTTTATAACACCTTTTCATCATAGCCGTGTATCAAAATCTTGAAGACCATGTCCTCACTGCTTCGTTTGAAGTGTAACAGCCAATACTGTGAGATCTCATAGTCTTGTAGGAAGGATATCGCCAATTTTAGTTTAAAATATTGAGTTGTGCCTATGTCACTGTCAAATTACTCTATTAGAATACTATGTCATATCACCGAAGCCATTATGGGTTGAAGTATCACGGACTTTCTCCACGCAATGGCTTTTCTTTTTTTCAAGACATACATTTTTAGGATCACCCACTAACGTTTGTAAATGTTGCTACTAGTAATAGTGACAGATAGGAAGTGGAAGGCAGGGTACCAGCATCAAATGGTATTGCAAGTGCGAAAGAGATTTTGAGAGTTCTTTTCAAGGTACTCGAGAATAGCAAAGAGACATCAATGGGAGAATCTGATCACTACATATGTGTAATCTAAGGAGATGTTAAAGGGAGTACAACTTAGGAAGAAAACTGCAGAGTTCAATAAACGATAATAATGTAGAATTGAACGTAGCAATCAGGTAGAGTCCCCAGCTTACGCTTGCTTCATCGCGATGCCGAAGAAGCGCTGTTTGACCGAGTTGCAACTTACGTCTGTAATGTGGAATCGACTCTCTTCCAATGTCCAGACAGCCTAAACGAGTGCGAGACGCCGTGCTAAAATATATGACAATGCAGGATTTGACATCCGGTGAGATCGCTATAGTCGAGAACCCTATCGAATATAGTTTCTAGATAGAGAGCACGATGAATCCAATTCCTTTATTGCGTGGCCTTCTAGCAAAGTGGTTTTTGAGCTTTTGCTTCTCAAAACGCTAGCGCGTGAACTACGGACCGCATCGAACTAGATCGCCTACCACGAAACTTAGCATCCCCTACAGGGCCAAGCATAATCCTTCCTCCAGATCAGAATTCAGTCATTCCGATGTCATTATCATTTTGACGTCGCTTCATTATTATTATTATTGCGCCGGGTTGGAGGATGATGAGTTCGTTTTGGCATTCAAGCACCTTCTTGACTCCGATAATGCCGTCGTGGGATATCAAGCATGAATTCAAAAAGCACCGTCAAGACTAAGTGAGCAAGAGATTAAACGTGAGAAAGGGAGAGAGAAACACCACCACTCAAGAACCACTTGGTCGGTACAGTTTGCTGGACATTTGATAGTCTGCATTTCAGAGTTGCGTTTGCTTCTCTTTCTTCTTTCTTTTGCTTCACTTCCTTGTTTGTTTTGCTTCTCTTTGCTTTGCTTGTGCCTTATTTCCCTGGGTTTCTAAAGACCCCAATGATCTTCTTTGTTGGAAAATAATACACCTCACCTCCTTGATCTTCTAACGCCTCAAGAGGCCCAGGCTACTTACATTTCTATAACCTGTTGAAAAGATGGATACCTCCACGGCGACTGAGAGGCAAAAGAACATTTGATGAAAATTGACGGTAGGTAGATCTTCATTTACATATATCATCTATGATCACACATGGTCTTCTCCTCACGTCTGGTGGCGAGAACCTGCCACAGTCTGATACCACCAGGCTTGAAGATGACGTCGAGGTCATAAATCACCACCCAGCCGCGGCTAAGGCATCATCGTTTGGACAATATCAGACATGGAGTTCTCATTGGCAAATGCCAATGGATAATGGAATGTGCCGCGAACTACCAGCAACCATGAGACGGCGATCGGGGAATACGCCGCCCTGATCTGCTCTATATACCCATTACCAATACCAGCCATTAAGCCCAGAGATGCAGCGGCCAGATATTGGAAGGTCCCTGGCGACGTTCCGAAAGTTCTATAGCTGGGAGATTGGACTGCACTTGAAGTCATCAATGACCTGGATCGCTACTCAGGTGGCGTTCGATTTAGCAGTTAGACAACATCAGACAACTATGGAATGACTGGGGAATACGATGCCCTGCTCTGCTTTATATACTTATAATCAACGCCGAGCATCCAACCTGGAGTTGCAGTGTGTGCAAGCTTGGAAGAGCCATGATGATACTCAAGAATTCTGCTGCCAGCGGATTGGACATAGCAGACGCCATGTCACACTTGGGTATAAATTGCCCAAGTGGTTGAACTATGCTGAAGTACTTACTACCTGTCAACGTCAATTGCTGAGCTCATGTAAAGTAACTGACCAATTACAGAGAAATGGAAGACGCGGTATCTTCCTAAAATGGGGGAATCACAAATGGCGATCACCAGTGTCTAAGCGATAGCCTTGAGTCTGTTAGAAAAGACTCACTTTTTCCCACCATAGCCGAAATGGCCCGAACGACCATATGCACGGTTGTCAATAGTGAGAAAGAAACCTTTGTTACAGAGCCGATATGGTCCGCTCCGATCTACTGCACCCATCTAATCAGAGGTGCAGTGGGAAGAGGTTGGAAGATTCATAGAGCGAAAACAATTCTAGAGGTGAATCAGCTGCCCCCTTTCTACACTACTATATATACCACCACCCTTATCCCTTCTTCCCTTTTTACTGACATGTATTATCTCATAGAAGGAGACCGAATCTCACCCCGCTTATTGGGACCCCTGCTCATCACTACTTGGCCATCCACATGATGCACTCTCAAATCATGTCCGGACAGCAGACAGATAGATGAATCCGCAGGCTATTCTGCTCATACCTTCCAAGTTATCTTCTCTTCGCTAGTGACCTATCTACCTAGACCGCAACAAGGACCGAGAATCCTACTAGCTGATCCGACGCAAAAAGCAGGCTCAACCACATCCCCATGCAGAAGAAAGAAGGACTGCGCAGTTCGTGTGATAGATAAGATACAATAGTGGCAGATCGGTAGCGACACTTTGCATGTCCCATGAGCCGAGCAGGCTAAGCGAGGATGAGGAATAGGTGGCCACTCCTTCCTTGCCCAATGCTGTCGTCCGTCGAACAGCAATACGACAATACGACGTGTTCCTAATTCCCCGGTTGGTTCAGCGACACGAGAAAGCCCTCTGGATGGACCAATCAAATTCTGACTATGTCTCCTCGTATTGGTCATAGTAATAGTACGTAGTTACTCGACAGACACCGCGGGTTATGTACGGATAAAGCGGGAGCTCCACCACGAGTTCCGAAGTGAGACCGAATTACGACCGGGGGCGGGTTAGTAGATTAGTAGACATGGTAGGAAATAGAATGACGAATATTCTTGATCTGGTGTTTTAATGCTATTGTTTCTGTTGTAAGCGCTGCGTGCGGTTGGGTTTGAGAAAGCAGATCTACTCGGAGGCGAAGTCTATAGTAGTTGGTATTTGAGGCGCGAGAGAAAACGGACCCCGTGTAAGAACACAGACTATTATGTATAACTAGCTTTCTTTAGATTTAGGTCCTGTATGGGCTTCAAGGGGTTGTTGGTAGACAAGGCTGGCAACCTGAGTATAAGTCCTATTTGCCAAACTTGGAAACCACAAATCTAACTTCACCATCACCACATCAGTACCACCACCATTAATAACTCTAGCAGCACACTACACACTGCAACGACATCTAATCCTACGAGTTCACCAAGCCAAAAACCAAGGGTATAAGAGTCCATCAAACCAATACATTGACACTCATAACCAAACTAAAACACTCGCGCCCTTTTTGAACATTGAACATACAAGCGAGTCAAAAAGCCAAAATAGGAAAAAAGAGGTGTGAAAAGAGAACAACAATGTAGAATGGGGAGAAAAAGAAAGAAAAGAACAAATCACAAGTTCACACCGAACTCAGCACAACCACCCATGAACCACAATCCAAAGCCAGGATCAAGTCTATCGGGGGAACAAAGAAACACGTCTTTTCATCATTGCATCAACCACCCTGAGGCACCAGACTTTGGGACATGTCCATACTGAACCCACATCGCCGTTCCAGAACATAGTCAAGGTATTGTATGATAATACAGAGCAGTTCACATGTATCTGCCGTTTGAGAAGATAAGAAGAAAAGGGGAAGGGAAGGTAGAAGATAAGGAGAAATGGGAATAACAAAACACAAAAGAAAATAAGAGAAGAGAAGAAGATTTGACATTAAACGCCGTTCCGGATTGCATTAGTTGACAAGTCATTGAATTAATCAAGGCCGCCGTCGCCGTCGATCAGACGGAGACGCTCTTTCGTGGTCTTAGCTCGTTTCGACGTGCCTTTGCCGGGACCACGGCCGCGTCCGCGCTTTGCGGGCGTTGCTGAAGGTGTCTCGACAGGCTCCTCGGCAGGCGTAGCAGCCCCTGAGGGTTTGGCGCTGGCGTCGTCAAAGTTACCCTCGCCTATATAATCGATTAGTATGGATGTCAATTGCAATGGGGTGGGGGGTTCTCACCTTCATGATACATGTCATCCAGCGTAAGATCCCGCTTGCGCTTCTGAGCGGCCTTCTTCCCGCCCTTAGCACCAAGGGTCTCACCGCGTTCGATGGCTTCCTTCTCCTTTTGCTCGATGAGTTCGGCCTCGTCGTCGTCTGCAAGCCACAGGGCAATGTCCTTAGTGCGGTTCTCGCGAGCACGGGTGTTGAAGTCGACACCGCCAGAAGCACCACCGGTAATGACAACGCGTTGCACTTCTTCCTTCTGCAAGGCACGCTTGCGGATACGTTCTTCGATGGTGCCGCGGGTGATAAGACGGTAGACAGTGACCTGGCGAGTTTGGCCCAAACGATGGGCACGATCCATAGCCTGGGAATCGATGGTAGGATTCCAATCGGAGTCGTAGAAGATGACAGTGTCGGCTGCCGTCAGGTTGATACCGAGACCACCGGCACGAGTCGAAAGCAAGAAGACGAAGATCTCCGGGTTGGACTGGAAGTCTGCGACAGTGTCGCGGCGGTCTTCCAGCTTGGTACTTCCGTCCAGTCGGCAGTACTTGAAGTTCCGGTATGTCAAGTACTCCTCCATCAGATCGATCATGCGTGTCATCTGGAAGTAGAGGAGCACGCGGTGGCCACCGGGCTTGAGCTCCCGCAGCAGCTGGTCCAATTTGGCCAGCTTGCCTGAATCTGTTACGAAACGGCGCATCGATGGTACCTCGATGTGGCTGTAGCGGCCCTTGACCGAGACCGGTGGCGGCAACATAGGAGCGTGAGAGTAAGGGGCAGGATCGAGCTTCTTGGCGAGAATTTGCTCCTCAACTTGCCTGCTGCAGTATCCAGATAGTGCTTGGCGGACAGACGGATTGAACAGAGCATGATTGGATTCCAGTAATACCTGTTGACCGGAAGAGGACATGGTGATGGGGGGCGCTGAAGCTTTAGGACCAGCGCAAGGCTCAATCAGGGGAAGGCCTTGGTCTTCGAATGAGGAGCGCGAAACAGTCATGAGATCCTTCATTCGGCCCTCAACGGCGATATCTCGAACAGCCTGGTGATCATTACGATCGACAATGTTCAACATCGAATGAGATAACACAGAGTTCTTTGAATCGTCACTCTCATCATAAATGACATTCAAAGCAGAAAGCCTATTTGGCTTGCTGCGACGACGCTCGGCGCGCTCGTAGACGCCAAGTCGTGCTATCTCGCTTGCTTCTCCTGCAGAAGTGTCGACGAAACGCAAGAAAGAGAACGCACCGTTGTCACGTGCGCTCTTCTGAATGTTTTCCGGTGTCCAAACGTTCATCAGCTGGGACAGGTACTTGGTTTGGAAGCCCACACGAGGATTATCAGAACCAGGAAGATCAAGTCGTCCGGTAGAGCTGCACAATAGGCGTGGCAACTCGTATTCGATCAAGTTCTGGGTCGAATAGCGAACATCGACAAAGTTTCCTTCACGAACGAAGGAAGCAGTTTCCGCAAAGGATGCAGCGGAGAAGGGGGATTTTGTTTCCGCACGTTCGAAGAGATCGGGGTGGTTACAGACTTTGCGGAATTGCATAACCAAATTCATCAATGTGCTGCTGTCGGTGTCGTCACCAGTGGCAGCCTTTTCGATGAGGTCGATGATGCTGACACGGTTACGCAAATTGGAGTACAAGGCACGTTGGCGGTATGTCAAGTCGCAGAAGATGTCCTTCTCAACCTTGTCTCCAAGTTCTTGCTGGACGTTCTTCTTGACACGACGCAACATGAAAGGTTTCAAAATCATGTGAAGACGCTTGAGTTGATCCTCGTTGAGCTTGGTGTTACTCTGGGCGTGCGACTCAATGTCCTTGGAGAACCACTCGCTGAACTCGTCGTGGGAATCGAACAGAGTTGGCATAATAAAGTGAAGCAGGGCCCATAGTTCTTGCATGTTATTTTGGATTGGCGTACCCGTCAACAGAAGACGATTCCGGCAGCTGAAGCCCAGCAGGTTCTTCCATCGCGAACTTGAAGAGGACTTGATAGCTTGAGCTTCGTCAAGGATCATGTATTGCCACTTCACCTTCTGGAAGTACTGCGCATCAAGAACGACAAGCTGGTACGAGGTGACTAGAACGTGGAATTCCGAGTCACGGTTATAGGTGATGTGCTTGCGATCCCAGAACTTTCGCAGGATCTTGCGGTCCTTGGCATTACCCCAGTAGGGAAGCACCTTGATGTTCGGAACGAACCGCGTAATCTCCTGCTGCCAGTTGTGCAGTGTGGATGCTGGCGCAATGACCAGGAAAGGTCCCCAGATGTTATGCACCTCGGCCAAGTAAGCCATGACGGAAATGGACTGGATGGTTTTACCCAGACCCATCTCATCTGCCAGGATACCGTTGATACCCTGCTCGTACAAATTGA